TTAATTGCAATTTTTATCTTTTCGGTTTTCAATTTGTTTTTTCGCGAATAAAAACGTTTAGTTTTATAGAAATTTTCAAACCGATACATTTATAATTCGAATACTATATACAACTTGTAGTTGCCTGTTTATTACAAATGTGTACTTGAGGGTAGTCCTGAAATCGACAGAGACTCCTTGTTAGATTGATAACAACAATCCAATGAGCTGAGACACAAGAGACAGTTCTTGCTTGTCCTTTTTCTGTCAGTCGACAACCGCTTTATCCATCCCATCTCTATAGTTAAAGTAGTTCCTGTGGAACCGCATTGGAAACAAAAAACTGAATTGCATTCAGAAATGGGATTTCAATCGCTTTAGACCATCTCTATAGTTAAAGTAGTTCCAGTGGAACCGCATTGAAAGCAAAAAACTGAATCGGAATTGCAATCAGAAATGCGATTTCATTTGATGCACTATAGAATCCTTCATGCATCAACAAAAATATCTCTAGCAGGATCAATTTAATGACAAATGTTTTCGATTTATCAGAATGAAATGAAAGGGAAATCTTAGAACAGTTTATTGGTGTGCTTAGCTCAGTTCTTTCGATGCGATCTCTAACTGAACTGCACTGTTAAGGCGCGCTGCAAGGCTTAAGTAGCAAAACAAAAGACTTAGGCAACGAACTTTCAGTTAACGAATGAAATGGCAAATGCTTTTTACTTCATTATGTTCGCACATACAAATGCGTATGTGTGTGTGTGTGTGTGTGTGTGCGTGTACTTATGCGCATGCCACATAAGCTATGAGACAAATTTCAATCTGTAGGGGCAGCACGAACGGGAACGTCGCACAGCTGCGTCAAGGCAACAAGGCAGCGGCAACTTCGTATAATTTTTTGTTTTTAAGTTTAATTTTTTTCTTCCACAGCAAATTCGTTGCTACAGCTGTGTGTGTTAGTGTGTTTTATTTTTTTTCTTTTTTGTATTATTTTATGCGCGTGTGTGTGTCCTAATTCCAATTCAACAGAAATGTTTGTCCCAGCAATACACAAAACAAGAAGAAACACAAAAATGGTAAAACAAAATAAATCTTAGATGAGCAAACCGCAACCGAAACCGAAACGAAAGACGAAACCGATCTGATCCGAGCCAAGCCGAGCCAAACTGAATTCAACTGAAGCTCAAGTTAAAGCCACATGAGTCTGTGAGTGGAGTTGAGCCTTAGAAATCGTCGCACATGCGAACGAGTTTAAATTTTAGGCAACAGCTACTTCTTCTGTTGTTGTTGTCTTTTTTTTTTTGTTGCGGCGCTTTATCCGATTTTGAGCTTATGTATAGTATATGTGTGCGACTGCTTGTTTTTTATGACGAGTTTCCGCTAATTGCTGATGCGCTGCAGATTAACTGAAGCAACAGCTACAGCCAGATTAAGCGTTCACTGCATGGCGATGACGCTGAAACAAAAAGTAAAACCAAAACAGAACGAAGCCCAAAAGATGAAATTAAAAGAAGACCAACGAGCGTCTCGTACTCCCCCAACTAGAGACGATTTTAATTATAAAAGCAGCAACGGGAACCAACTCCGTATAATTTCACACGCTATTCCCCGATCGCTGGGCGTTGGCAGCTACAAAGGAGCGCCCGCCAGCTTACAAGCTCCAACATAATGTCAAAAGCGGCATCTTAAGCAGGATGGCTTTACGGCAGCCCGCAGTCAGCATAGTACAAATTTTATATTCAACTTGAGGGAGTAGAAATATAACAAAAAAAAATAGTTCAAAAAGTAAAACAGAAAATTCCAATCCAATTACTGCTTTGTGAGAAAGTCTGGAAGAATTGTGTTTAATACGAATTGTTTAATCAGGATTCCCCGCCTTGCATCATCAGCGTATCATTCAATTCAATTATTGCTTACAATCAGCTTCAATTTGTTATGAAAAAATATCTACAAAATTGCATTCAATTGTTGAAAAACCACTCAAGCTTTTCTTTAATCAGAAATATATATTTTTCAAGCAAACGAGCTGGGTAGGGACCAGGCAACCAGGCAGAATATCGCTGGGTAATCAAATGAAATGCCTTTGAAAATTATAACAGGCTCCAACACCAATTCGCAAATGGAAATCAATTAAATAATTATAGCCAATCTGCCTTAGATTTGATTATATTGTTTCCTCAAACTTGTATCGAGAAATTTCTAAATTTTCCATGCAATTATTTCTTATTCTCAGTTCTCAATTCAGCGCCCAAATATGTAATATTAAATTAAAACAAAACAACTGAAGACAGTTATAGGAGTATACACACTATATATATAATTTCATGAGCAACAAGGATTTGTTTGGCTCGGAGTCTAAGGAGGGGCAGCTGCCCATCTTACCTCCCCTTCGCTACAGCTATGGTAAAGGGAAAGATAATATTGTATAATAATATTAAATGCATTATAAAAGTGTCCTAAAGTCTTCAACAGGAAGACATTTTTGAAGGGAAATCGCTAATTTACTTAAAGCAAATTGGTTATTTTTCGTGTTTTACTTTGTAATGAATGAAGATAAGTTATAGCTTTTAAATCATGATAAAATTGATAATTTGTGAACACTGATCACTAATCAGAGCTCAAGAACACCAAATAAGCAACATACTAAAAGTAACAACATGACTTTTGTCAGTGCAGTGTGGCCTGTTTTTTCTTTAAAATGGGCTGCAGTCCAACTAGTGGCGAAAGCACCAGCGCATGTTTTGCTAATATTACAGCTTCATTTACCTTCAGCAAATGTGTTTAGATCTAAAATTGGTTGACCATTTTCATCTTTTGTAATCCAACGTCAAATTCGGACTAGTAATCTATTCAGAAGTAAACAGTGAATATTGATGATATTTCAATAATTTTGCTTGTGAGTTGGCTGTGCATTTTCGATTTCGTTTGAAAAACTTGTGGACATTACAAATGAAAACAAGAGAGAATGCCACAGTCGAGCAAGCCCGATAATAAAATACTCATGCGCTTATTGTAGAAGCAAAAAAAAAGAAGAAGAAGAAGAGCAAGTTCTGCAGTTCGTGGGCGTAATGCAGGAGTGAAATTGTTTTGCTGATAACTTGGCTATGCATTTACCGATTTGGATGAAACTTTAAACGAAAGTAGAGAAATGTTTATTAATTATATGTACGAAGCATGATCAATGCAAGTTTAGCCGTTTCCGAATTCCAGGCGTTCATCCAGACGGACAGACAAATATGTCTTGATTAATTTACCTTATCATGCTGATTAAGTATATATGTATATATGTATATATATATGCATGTATGTAAGTATATACTTTATGCTCCCTTTTGCCTGTTAAACTCTTTGTTCAAATGCTATTTACATATTAATCCTTTTTACCCCTCGGGTGCGGGATATAAAAAAATCACCAAGAGCATAAATAAACATAATTTTTTATTTAAAAAAAATATGTATAGGCTGTCTACTTGTATCTAGCTGTGTGTCTGTTTAGAGGCCTCCATATGTTGCGATCTTTGGCTTGACTATTTTCTAGTATGTACCTCGTAAGGAAGATAGGATATATTATTATATTTAAAGTGGTTTTTACAGGAATTGGCGAAATATAATGGCAAACTTCTCAATTCCTCAGCCATTTTGTAATGCTAGCGGACGCATATACAGTATTATATATACACACATATTAAGTATATACCGATTGTAATTGTGCACTAATTTTTGGAATTAGCAAGCGCATGAAAATTAATTTATTTATTGTATTTATTTTCCATCTGACTGTTAGTTTTATAAAAATTTAATTAAACAGACCTAGCTGCACTGCACTAGTCTGCCATATTAGAGGTTAATTAGTTAAAAGAGGCAATTCAGAATAACTGTGTTCAGCTGGTGGGGTATTGATATCATTCAATAGATGAATTTAATTGAATTGTATAAATTACTTGTCGTTGTGAAACTAATCTTTCTCAAATAATATTAAGAAAAATAAAATACCTAGTAATGAAATTGAAGATCCAATAGTTAAAACAGCACTGTTCGCACAAAATCGGAATCTTTGTGAGTAGTGGACCATTTTTTTGGGCGAAAATAGAAAATGAAATTGTGTGAGTAGAAGAATAATTTCGCCACTAAGCGTTTTATGTGCTCATCAAGGGGTTTTTATGTTCATATACATACACAGGCACAGACACACAACTACATGCGCAACAATAGCCGCTAAAGACAGCAGTCGCATGAAAATTAGAAATAAAGAGGCGTATCGCTGTGGCCATGGCCCTTGCCTCGAAACTGATCTCGGTTCATCGTGGTGGTTCACTGGCTGTTGTTGTTGTTGTTGTTGCCGCTGTTGTTGTAGTCAAGCGCTTAGATTGTGGGCCAAAAACAAAAAAAAAAAAAAAAACAGAAAAAATCCAAAAATTATACGAATTATAAGAATTACGCCGAAATTGAGGAGAGAGCGAGAGACATCTAAGATTCGAGATTATGGCATTGCCTTAGCCTAAGCTAATAATTCTGGCACACACGCCCATACATATGTACATATGTATGTATGTACATCTACACACACACACACACACAAACAGAAATACAGAGTAAAGCAGATGTGTGCATATAAGTATAATGAGTTATAATTGGATTAAAGATTTATACATACTTGTATACAACTTTTACATTCGCCTTTGTTTTTTGTTTGCCTTCCCTTCCCTCCAACTCGCCCTCGTTCTTGATTTTGTTGTCGTCTATTTTTATTATTATTATTTTTTTCTGTCATTGTTGTTGCTCGTATCTGTGTCATTTGAATAGCCGAAGAGCCGGCCCGATTTATGAATCTCGGACTGACGTTGAGTAATTAGCGGGTGTCGGTGTCGGTGTCGGTAGCGGCGTCTGCGTCAGCGTCTCTCTCTCTCTCTCTGGAGCCCGATGGGGAAGGGGTGGGGGTGGGGGTGGAGTGCTTAGTAATTGCATGAAGCGCAAAAATAATCTCTAACATTTGTTTTCATATCTCTGTATATTTGCAGCAACCAACAACAACAAAAAGCAATCAATGGCGAATGCCTGGCAAACAACGAGTGCCCGGCATTCGAACGCTCAACGACGGCTCAAAATTTAAAGTAAATTGCATATTTCGGACAGACCGTTTGAACGTAAGCGTTATTGTACTCTCGTATACGTATACCCATGCATGTGTACTATATAGTATAATGGAGATGAGCTAGTACGAGAATCACAAATTGATTTCGTGTGAACATTTCAAATAATAATAACAAATTAATATGAATGTGTTGCAATCTAGAGATATGTATGTATGTATGAATTTTGTTTGCACTTTTAAAATAATGCCACGATAGCCCCAAGCGGTTGTATTTAAATTTAGAGCGCAGAATGGATATTTGGAAACATATGAAAATGCACAGAAACTAGTCTTATATTGTACTTAAAGCAACCTAAACTTCATTCCAATGTCTTGCACAGTAAAAATAATTGGTACCTAATGGCATATGCCTGTCCAATGACCAAAATCTGACACGAATGCTGTACTAAGCTCATATTTAAGCGCAGCAGGACATGGTCAACCCCATAGCTTATTAACTGAATCGTGATGAACTAATTAAGCCAAAAAGGTGTCCCTAACTCTACTAAACGACGAGAATTTCAAAACTCACAATGTTTCCAATGCGAGAAAGCAAAGAGTCTACAACACAAATGGTTTAAAGAGTGCAATTAATGGTATTCAAAACGAATACTCTTGAGTAAAACAAAGGGCCATGTCCATGGGGTTTATGGTTCAAGCAAAACAAAAAAAAAAAAAAAAAAAAAACACACACAAATTACAACAAAATTGCAAAAGTATAACACAAATAAGTAGAAGAAGTTGATGATGATGAAAAAAGTAAAACATAGCACCTATATCAATTTTGTGCATATCATTTTTGAAAGAAAAGAATAAACAATAATTAAACTTAAAACAAATAGTAAAAGTAATTGAAATTGGAGTCGAACCGCGAAGAAGCAGCAAAAGGCAATAATTTTAGTTAAATTTTGTTTAATTTAATAACTAAAGCAATTTCTTCCTATAACGACGATACTGTGCAATACAACCAATACCAGAAAAACGAGTTAAACAAATACATAGGTGTGAGTAATGAAATTTATATATATATGTATATTTTTTTTTCTAATTTAATACGAGTATATAAGTAAATATGTATGTATTTGTAAGGGGCATCCACAAGCATATGCCAAAATGCTAATACAGGACCCTACACTAAAAGGATTACCTCATGAGAAACAAATAAGCAAACACGAAAACAACACATACGATCAAAGATATGGAAAACAGCTCAAGCAACTACCTCGTTAAGAACAGAAACTATGTCAAGGATTTTTCATAAATAAAGCGAACAAAAATAAAGAGGCATATTTACTAAATGGCAACTAATTATACGTAAAACTAAAACAAATAACAATTTATACGAATTGAAATCAATTTAAATTAAATGTACATTAAATTTAATTGTTTATACACATAAATATATTATATATACATATATATATATATATATATATACAATTAGAGCGATCTACCATATAGAAGGGGGCTCCTCGCAGCAGCCGCGCTTGCGATTTTTTGATTCACGTTGTCATCAGTTTAAATTTGAATTGAACGTTTTTTGACAAAGGTTTGGCCAGCTAAGATATTGTTGCACACATGACAACGGGCGCGGTGCGAGTCGGGGAGTGGCAAGTGTAGGGGAGTGGAAGATTCTCCTACTATTTGTATAATGTAAATCTAGAAGTTGTGCATCATCTTTTTTCTACAACGAAAACTAATTGCGAATTAAAAAACGTTTTTAACCTAATCTTTCTTGTTTTGAGAATAATTTGTTTTCAAATACTTGTACTAGCATATTGCAGACCTTTTTTTCGTTTTATTGTTCTGTAACCAAAAACGCTGAAGCAATATTGAAAACAGGCACTTAACTATTATAACACTAGAGCTCAGTTGATCGAAAACGTTTTCATTTTATCTATGCAAGTCCTACGACAAGCGAAACATACTTGTATTGTATTTGAATTATGTAGCAACTACATGTTAAATTCTAGTACTTAATTATGTAATTATTGAATGGAGGAAACTCGAAAAAACTCTGCCGAAGCAAATTAATTAATTGAAGAGTAATTAATTCAAAATTTAAACTATACACATACGACTTATACACATATTTAAGAGTTAAAAACAAAACAATTTTAAAGCACCAACTAAGCACATAAAACACAATCCAGCAACAAGCGTATTCCATCAAACGTTCAAACTACTTCAGTCGATGTTAATATCATGAAAGGTATGTCTTTCACATCATCTAGAGATTGGCCAGACCCCCTTTTTGTCGCACAGAGAAAGAAACACTCTCCGAGTCCGAGTCCATAATAATATCGAACTTGAACGCCTTAGTTAACAATTTCCACATATTTAAGCTTAATAGAAAAGTAATGCGAACTCAACTACTAAATAATTTATTTGCGAATCTTCCAAGCCTTTCGGTTTTAAAATTGTACTGGCACGTCCTGGTGGCACTTCACTGAAAGGATTGAAACTTAGATAACTTTTACTTACATAGAAGATTTCATTGGTGATCCCTGGGTAGCTCTAGGGTACGGCTGTATCTCAGACTACGCTGAAAGTATCAGAAGAAAACAGCTTTAAGTAGAAGAAACATTAACACTGTCAGCAGTTGAAACGTTTGAAGGAATACCGATTAGGTCCTGCTGAGCAGATTGCTTTTGAAGGTTTTCAGAGCTAAGGCAAAACCAATTCTGCTCAGAGGGCATTGTTATACTCGTATTTGTTAGCCTAACACAATTGCCATAAAGCAGGAAACTAAGCTAAACAACAAACAATAAGATGACAAGGAACCGTGTACCTCTCACCACTGGCTAGAAAACTACAATTTTAGTCGGCGTAAACTTTTGTGTGTGTGTATTTGTAAATTTTACATTTAACTAAAAAACAAAAAGAAAAAAAAACAAAGAACAAGAAAAGGATATCAACAATTTTAAATTATATATTAAAAGAGGATATATACACTCAATTTTTGATAGCAGAAAGTGAATAAGTTTAAAAAAAGAAAGAAAAAGAAAATCTATGTTGAAAAATCCATTACGAGTATATCAATTTTCTTCAAAAGTATAAATGTATTAAAGTAAACTGTAGTAGACAAGTGACTAAGCCAAAACAACATAACAACAAGAAAGCTAATAAAAGTACATATTAACACAATGACTAATTGAATAATCAGCAGAAGCAACATACAAAGAATTTATTGAGCAACAAGAAAAAAACTAAAAGAAAAACTGTTTTTTAATTGATGAAGAGAAATTCTACAATATATATATATATATAAAAAATATATATATACATAATGCATAATATAATTATTATATATGTACATACATATGAATATATGAAATAAAATACACTGCTCTATATATATATACGCACATACATACATGTGTATGTGTATGCATCGATTTAATAAGAAGCAACTAAATTGTAAACAGATCAAGAAATGCATAACAAGAAACAAAACAATTTTTTTGGGCCGAAATAAAGTATGAAGAAATGTAAACCTACAGAGAAATTTTTACTCAATTGCACTACACTGGCAAAGAGCTGCCTGAGCCGGATGGTACGAGTAAGTATAAAAACTATCGTGCAAAATTATGCTAACTTTTTCACAATGGAAAGGCAAACTGAGGCCAACTTATAATGATTATGCCCTGCATCCAAAGTGCCAAAGGGCATACTAGAAAAGGGGGCTCTATATTTAGCTACAAATATGTCTATATTATGAGCATGATAGATACGCCCGGGCTTTTTTCAACCATTACACTTAAGGATACCTTCTTCTTCTTCTTTAATAAAGATATCGTATGTATTTTTCGTATCTATGAGTAACCTAGCCCTCGCCTAACAGGACCTCTTTTAATACGAACTCGGTCTAAGACGATTAAAAATTTACTCCCTTTTCGCTTTTTCTTACACGATAAAAGTTGAAAATATTTAAAAAAGAAGCGTACAACTTTAACTCACTTTTGTTTTTGAAATGTGGCTAAATCTGAATGTTAAAATATTAGTTCGCAATTTCAAAGCTACTACGTGGAAGGATATCTACATTCCTATGGCCTTGAATTGTTTATTTTATCCCTAAGAGTTTAAGAAGGCAACATTGAATGGATATTGGTAGAAATAATGACCAGTGGTGGTTTACAATTGCAGAATCCTTTCTTTTGCTCACCCAAAAAAACAAATGTTAATTATAATTAGATTATATCCCGATGCCACCAAATGGTTCTTAAATTTTAAATTAAGCTGCTTCAACATTTTTTTGTAAATATTTTTCTTTCTATTAAGATTAATCTGTTAAAGATAAATATTCAACACTTGGAGTAATTTTTTGTTAATTTCAAAAATGTTTGGACCTTAAAAACAGCAGGAAAAGAAAAATTTTGTTTTGTATATTTATCAAAATCTAGGATCGTAACCCCATATTTTGTATGGAGTCCATGTCTCATTTCACACGAGGTTTTTCTAGGTACTTTGATCGCCTCCTGCTCGTCAGGACATCGTTTGTGCAATTAATGAATGCTCTTCGGCAAAGATTCTATTGCTCTTTAGCTATCCACAAAAAATGTAATAAGGTCTCAAATATTCGGTATTCCTAGAGCTGTCTCCGCTGCCTCTATTATTTATCCTTGGAATATACTGCAGTAGTAGTCAGACAACTTATAAATGCTTGAAAATGTTCGTGTATTTTATAGTGCTTCAGCATATTGCTGACTTAAAAATGCAAGCATTGTAATTGAAGAACTGTTGGTTGGGGAGGAAAGGATATAAGAGACTAGATGATTAAACTAAACTAAAGGATCAATTACATTTTTGAAGCAACTACTTCGTTCCGAACTTCAAACTACATTATTTGGGCTCCGTTCCAAAAACTAGATTAGATTTCAGACAATGAAGATTATTTAGCAACAATGCACTTAATTGAAATGAAATGGTAATTGATTTTTAGATATTATTTAAATAATAGGAAGATTGCAAAAAGAATATCAAAATATATTGAAAATAAC